CCCCCAACTCCCTCACCCAAAATCCCCATCCAGACCCCTCCATCCTGGGGCAGCTGTTTCTCATCAAGTCCCCCCTCCCACTTCTAAAATCTCCAGCACCACCACCTCCACCACCACCCGTCCCCTTCTCCTCCAACCATGCAGTCTGGCCCAGCTCTCCTGCATTTAACCTCCCTAGCAGGAGCAGAGCAGAGGCCAACAAGGCACTGGGATAATGAAACAGGAGTGTAGTGTGGCTGCGTAAGTGTATGTGTGTATTTGTATGAGAGTGAGTGAGGGGGAAATGTGTGTGTATGTGTGTACATGTGTTACTGTGCAGCCCTGAGAAGGTGTATAAGTTAAGACATTAATGGCTTCTATAGCACCCTAGTGAAAGTGCCAGGTCCCTTAAGAACAGACCCCATTAGTCACAGAGGCTAAGCGGATTGGGATGATTACCATCAGGTTTTACTGGGGAAACGTGTCCCCTTCTCCCTATCTTTGTTGTTTTTTTTCCCACCATTCTTCTTCTCTGTCTTCCCTGGGTTCCTACTCACTTCCAGTTAGTATAAAGATACAATTACCCCTCGAGGCAACGGTGGTACAATTGATTAGTGTGGTGAATTAAAAGAGAAAGTCACCAATAGACAGGTCTGGCTCCTCTGCTCTGCTATTCCCTATGTGGCTTACCCTGATTGTACAGGGGTTGACGCTTGAGAGAACGAAACCGTTATAAGAGCAGAATGCATAACGCTAGAAAAAGATATCACTGCTTCCACACGTACAGTAGGTAAAAGGATGTTAGCTACATCTCTCGGACATTAAAATGACAATTGGCTGATGCATTGAGTGCAAGAGAACAGATATTGTATTTAAGAATGAAACTCATTTCCAGCTATAGCTTTTCTTTCTGTTTCTGACTCTTGAGCAAATGGCACTTCATTTGCAAATAGATTTGGAGTTATAATAGCACATTACATGGGCTGAAAAGGGCATGTAGTGACACAGTGCTGTCTAAAAGGCACAGAAAGGCACGGTGTCATATTGGAGAGCACCGTGTGCATATCAAAGGTCTAGTTATCAAAGCATATGGCTTCAAGCATGACTTGAGAGCACGGCTTGAGAGGAGTGCCTTTTTAGACTTTTTTTTTATGTTGACTCTTCTTGCACCACCACCCTAATTGTGGAAATTTAACTCGCTCAATTTAAGAAATTATCACAAATTACCAAGAGTCAACACAGAGGAGACTGCAGTCAATTCGAACAGCAGAGGGACATGTCCTCACTCGGGTTAGCACCCTGGAACGGCTCCAAAACTCACAATCCATTCTCAGAAAGAGAGCACGGTGTAGTATATGTCAAATAATCCTGTTGGCATCGACTCTTGAATGTTTAAAACACTAATGAGACAAACAGACATACTATATAAAACTTGAGAAGCCTGCAGTTTACCGACTGCTTTAAATAGCTTATATCCGTTCTTTAAGTGGCACATTTTTAAAGGAATGACTTGTTGCCTATTTTGATGTTTTACAGTCTATACCTTTTACCTTCTAAAAAGCTTGTCGTCCCTTGGAGCTTGCTGATTTGTCCTCTGTCTAATCCATATATTGGTTATCTATTGGTCAGGACAGGACTGGTAGAACCAGCTGTCAGCAAGGTTGTAGAAAATCAAAAGGAGAAAGTCCTGGCTGTATCTGAGTCAATACTGTATTATACTTTTCACTTTATTAAACCCTAAAACCTGTACGTGCGGGCCAGATTAAATATTTCTAAACCAAAAGGTCTCAATTTTCTGGCCTCATTTGCAGCATTTTCACCTTTTTATTGCATACTTACATAAGTGTATGAAAGAGTAAATCATAAATAAAAACTTGAGTGTACAATTCATCCAATTTAAGCTCCTAATTGCATCAGAGCTTTTGGTTTTCTATCTTGGCCAAGTTTCCACGAGTGCTCCCCTCCAGGGGCAACGATGCGGGCTCTTGGTAATATGGTTCTGCAAGCAGTCCTAACACACTCAGCCACTATTTATCCTAATCAGTGACATCCACATAACCAGGATTGCTTAAAATGAACCCCTTCCGCGCCCCAGAAAACGCACATTTACCGGGACCCCATTTGTCATGGGTAAATTGAGGGTCAGTAAACTTCGCCTGTATCCTCCAGTGGGGATCCAGGACATGCATCATAACGTTAGGAGAGAATGATTGGCGAAGGCGAGCTGTCACACATTTGTCAGGGGGAAGGGAACATTATTTGCTAATTTCCCAAGCTGGGCACTGACAGGGTGCTTCGTCTTCAGACCTTTGGTGACCAGCATGGCTTCGCAGCTATTAGTACAAGTCAAGTGTTTTTTCTTTTTCTTTTTTCTCCCTTCACTGTAAAGCGGCAGTAATAAGAGCCATTCGTTCGACCTCACAAGACTGCAGCACACACTGGGTGAAGGATTTTTGGATGAAGCGGATGCCCCCATACAGTGTTCTGTTCTTGCCAGGCCTTAGTTGTGGCCAGACAGCCTTGAGGGCTGATGGATCACAAACTTTCCTCGTCAAGGTGACGCTATCGACTCCACTGCACCAAAATCTGACAAAATGGGTATGAGGCAGTCATTCATCAACATAAGGACAAAGGGGTCATGTGTGCTTCACTCAATACTGGTGGAGCTCAAGAAATGTCAACCTTGTAAGGGATGGAAAAGGGAGATGTTGATAGTGCAGAAGTAAGGGTTCTTTGTAAATACACTTCCACTAAAGCTTCCTGCTTTATGAAAGTCAAACTATTTAATGCCAGTCTCCAACATGTATGCACCCACACTGAGCTGACAACCTCTATGCACAAATCAGAGATATAAATAGTGAAGTCCACTTCTCAAATCCAAAATTAAACCCACTTAATGTTCTGCTCTTAGAAAGAGGAACACAGTGTTACAGCGGTGGACCCTACTCTCCCTAAAAAAAAGGGAAAAATTAAACAAACAAATGCAGACGTCTTTATCAAAGCACATCAGATAGGGTCCTGTGCTGACCAGCTCGTGAATTGTCCCTATCCTTGCGTCTCCTCTCCGCCCTGCCGTCACTTTGAAGTTCCAGACTTAGAAGCTGATCAGATGAGGCGCTTCCTTTTCATTTCCTGTCCTGATGGGTTGGGTTTGGTACTCGGTTGGTTGCTGGTCAGCGACGGGGTGTGGCCTACAGCAAAGATATGCTATAATCAAAGGCATTCAAGGAGGTATGTAAACAGATCTGCTTTTGAGGAGCTCTTTGAAACACACACGCCAAATGACTTCATATTTCCGCACCCTTTAAAGCCACTCCGCACAACATTTGTGATATTTCTAAAAAAGGCTGATTTAAAGGAGGAAAAAGAAAATCCCCCTGCAGTATGAACTGCTACAATGAGAAAAGATGACATAGGCATTTATAAATGTCACTGCCACAGTCACGTGGGTTGTAACCAGTTGGCACAACAGTTTTAGCATGTGTCAAAGCATGTTATCCACTAGCCATATCCCCATACCTACCTGTCTCATTACAACTCTGGTATTTAGCACCAGCTCCACGGGAGTGGAGCAGACACTCATTGCCAAGTTAGATGGGCCTGGTTTGAAGGCCTTGTGAGCTTGTGTGGAGCACGACAAGGTTCCACGGAGGAAGGTCCTTGTGTCCAATTAGAGGGCTGACGTGACACGTGCTCGCACTCCCCCACTGTCAGGCAGCTTGTCAGGTAGGCTTTGAGAAGCACACTGTGGCATTATTCCACAGCGTGTTATCAGCAAGTGACCTGTGAAATCCAGCTCCAGGAAATTGATTGAAATAAGCACTTGCAGTTGAGCATGTATTTTTCCCCCATTACATCTCTCTGTGAAATGCATTGTGGTTATCTTTCATGAGAAAAATGAAAGCATAGGTGCGTGCTTTTTTTCCTCCCAGTAAGGATGGTATTCATTGATTTAATTTTAATTGGACCCACTTTTTGTCCCACAGTATCGTTAGAGGTCTGTTTTGTAATAGCTCTTAAAATGGATTGTCCTCACGAAGTCACAGCATCAGTCCTCTGCCACGGGAAAGATAGACACAGGAGGCAGGGAGGGGGGCTCTTGATAGACGAGGATCTTTCCCTCCTCCTCTTTTTTTCTCTACCTCCTCTTCTTGCCCCATTTTCAGTATGATCTGCACCCAACGGGCTTTAAAAGAACTCCAGCCTCCCGCC